TTTAACCAGATAAGTCTTTGAAATTTATTATTCATTTATTCTGTTTTATAATATATTTCCGTATTAACAAACCAATTAGCTGATTTTATGAAATTTCATTTCGGATTTGGCGATCCGTTCATTCACGAATTATTTAGTATGGGCCAGGAGAGTCAAAGACTCGATCCAAAGGATCATCGCTTGATCTTCGCTGGCAATCGTGGATAAATAATTTAGCTTAAGGGTAGACCCAAAGGGTCATTGCTCTGCAATAAGTGCGGTTAGTGAGTTGGTTAGTACCGAAATACTTCTATGCTGATCTCTGATTTGTGGATTTAGGCTCGAAGAGCCATTTCTTTGAAATAAAACACATGACATCGCTCCACTGAGGCTCATTATAACGTCATGTGATTTACTTCACTTTGTGGCTATATATAAGATCATCAAGCTCGATAATTAACTTTACCTTTTACTTTACGCTTTCGAATAGGGCGTTTCTTTACTGCTCTAGTCTTATGCGCATGTGTAACTTCTATTTCTGAACTAGATGTGGAAGAATTACTTGAATCGCTGTCCGAAGTATCTGAATTGGAAGAAGTATCCGAATTGGAAGTGCCCGAATCTTTCGATTTCCCAGGAAGTATTTTGTAAAAATCATGAATATCTCTTTTATTAACAGATACTATTACTCTCTCCCCTTTCTTCTCAGTTAGGTTTTTAATACGCAAAGTTGTTCTTACCCAGGCATCTTCTGCATCGGTCACTATTTCTGGTATATAAGTCTGGAGCTCATCATCATCATATTTGCGTCCATAGAACCAATTATTACCAAGCATTATATAATTAGGTAATGTAGAGTTATATCTATCAACCAGTACTTCGGTTGGAATCGTGATAGATTTTTTATTATTAAGACGGATATTATCTTTTATATTAGATGTAAATGTAAGTGGGATTACGGCCAATCCAAGTGGAGCTGTGGCTTCTTCTCTGATGAATTTGCTATCTTTTTCTTCGAGTGTTAATTTTCTGCTAATTTTACCACCTATTTTCTTGAGGAGCTTATCAGTATACATTGATAGTCCGAGAAATCCTGGTTCGAGGTGACAATTAATTTTCTGCGATCCTACTTTAGCTTTGACTATTTTCATGGTACGTTATATTATGTGATACATATTTGTCCGAAAAAATAACTAACAATTAATTATCCATTTCCTGCTAGTGGGTGCAATTGTTTATAACCCACGATGAATGATTA